AACAGCCGACTGATCTGCTCCGAAGCACCCGACCCGACTTCGAGTCTAGGGCTCATTGGAAGCGACCTAGCGACAGGTCGATGCGGGCTGAATCTTACATTGTACAGAAAACTGAGATTCCCTTTTACGCCAGTAACCAGTTAAATAAAACAATGAACTAAACTGTAACTGCGAACATCGCTAGGATAGTTCGTGATAAAATCCAATTTGACTCTTGAACACTTCCAAGTCCATGTATGTTGACAATATATTATGGGACTACATTTGCATAGTGATGAGGTGGTATCGCCCAAGTTCTCAACCCTAATGTATGGTTCCTAGATAAAAAGTTGTGTACATAGCTTGTGTCTTTTCCATATCTATGTATTAACAAATACTTGCCTAACTAATTATAATATGAAAAACGTAAAAATGGCTCTTACTTAACAAAACCGTAAAGAATGTAGTCTGTTTTGTTTTCCAAATAAATAAAATATTATCAAACAGATTGATAAGGTGCACTTAATTTAACGTATCAGTTGCACTACGAAACTACTGTAAATTTTATCATTTTATTTACGTATGAATCGCATTCCTCCAAAGCCAGATAATGTAAAGAATGTGAAACTGAAAGCTTTAGAAACAGTGTTCCGATACGCGTTCCGTGTGGTGATTAATGAACGTAAGTAATTAGTGTTTTTCATCGTAAGCGAATAGTTGTATTTTGTATATGGTTGAGAAATAAATTCATGTCTGCTGTAAATCTCAAGAAGAATTGCGAAACTTTGTACTGCTAGAGTGGTAGAGCGCCCGACGGAAGGTGGTGTTTTATGTAAACGAGGTCAAAGCACGAAAGTCGGTGATACTACAACTCGGGAATCGTACAAGCTAGGTTTTACATTTAACCGATGAGAACCACAATTCGCCCTCCATAAAACTTTTAAATAATCCTACATAATATACGGGCAATGAACGTCAAATAATGTTCCCCAGAAAAAAAATTAAACGAACATTTTATGTCGTTTTGCAGGATATCGTCAAATCAAAGAGTTTCATTGGAACAAAGACGGAATAATATTTTAATCGGGTCGATTTTATGCATCAGATGCAAATTCACATCACTCGTGGCGCAAATTCATTCATTTCATAAAGCAGGAAAAGCTCTATTGTTTCAAATTGGAGTGTAGAGCGTTTTAACTGTACTGTGCAGTGGTCGGACTGATGCTGGGCGCAACAGGAAATCTAGTACATCTACACGGGTCGCTGATATCGCATTCGAATCACTAACCGTGACGTCACTTAATAATTTTACAATTATTATACTCTACGTAAACTCTTCGACGATAATATTGGATACTCCGGCAAGACAGTAAAGGCCATGTGATGGTCACGGTAGCCATGTGTCATTTCTACTGATGCGTTTGATGTATCGTATTTATCATGTGGAATATTGATAAAGGGAAGGGATGCCCTCTGGGGCATCCCTCCCAACACACACACTCTGGTGTGTCGATATTGTATTACAATTTAGTAAAAGCGTACCCTCGTCAATAATCTAATGAACTGTAAGTCAATGGGCTTCCGTCAACGGCCCTTTTGTTAAAAAAATCCTATAAAAAGCTCCGTAAATAGACTTTCTTAGAATAAACAACATGACTGTTTATTGGTGCTCCGATGATTAAAGGCCAATAAGAAACTTTCAATAGGATATTTATGGCTTTTGTAGAAGAACTTATGCTCCATTTACCGGGATCGTGCTCATTCGCATGAAAAACTCTTCGGAGCCTTTATATTAAAATCTTTTACTGATTAAGTGTTAGTACTTGGGTCTTTGTAATATAGAGGTAGACATCGCAACTTTCGTCTCTACAATGGTTAATTATTTGTAATTCTATTTTTAAACACCATTGTTCGATGCTTACTTCAGCTGCCCCAATAAAGATTGTTTGGTTAATTAGCAGACTTCGCGAGCGGTGCCTCAGGTAGCCTTCTAGTGTGAGAAGTGAGAACACATTCTTGTACAATGATACTCAATGTGCACCCGATGACGTCAAGTCTAGCGGTATCTACGTATTACCGGTACAAGTCACAAAAGACATGCCAATTTTTTGCATTAAATAAAAGCGACATGCTCAATGCAAGATTCACTTGAAAATATTTTCAAATAGAAACGAGAAACTGTACAAAAATATATTTAAGACTATAAGAATAGTAAGAATACACTATGAACACTACAATACCACAGCCGAATAAATCCACATTTAAGTATAATTATTAGCTCATTTTGTTCGAGTAAAATTTTAGGATCTTTCAGTTAATTGATTCAAAAACTGACGATGTGCAAATACTTTTCATTTTTGTTATCACACATGGTATTTTTACTCCGAATCGACCTGACATTTACATAATTTTTTTATCAGAAAACCATATTTTTGAACCAAATTTCAATTTCATCTACTATTTTCTGATATTTAAAGTCTGTGACAGAAGGGTAGCTCTACTTGAAAATGTGTACGGAACCATTATCAAAATTGTAGTTCCTGATCCACTTGCACCACACAAGTTTCGGAGACCTCGCCGACGGCATTAAAACGGTATCCATCTGTGTCGCTGCAAACAGCGTTGTACATGTTAGGTGTACATATTTGATTTCAGTGGTCTTATTTCTGTAAATGAAATTATTTTACTCTAATTAGTTAATTTAATTTGCTAAAAATGCAGGTATCATCGCATAATAGTAATAAATTATTCACTTACAGTTGCAACGATAGGATTAGGAATGATCATATCGAGATCTATCTCAATTTGCAAAAACAAAATGTTTCCCTGTCTATTAAAAAATTGAAAAGTTACTTTGGAATCTCTTCTAAGCCGAGTCCGTTCTACGAAAGGATTTAATTTACTGTGTACCGTAAATACATCTTAATAAAATGATCTTACTTAGTTGTTCAACCATTCCCAGTTGAGCTACAAATTATTGCCCAGTATTATGTTTATGGGCAAATAATAAGTATGTTATTGTTTAAATTAACACCCGTTGGTGATGAATAAAATGTAATGATGAATTCATAATGGGAACTAACTGTTCAGCTGCTCTGAACAGCGGGAGATTATTATGCACGTTGTTGATGTCGCGCTCGTTACCGCATTGTTGAGTGCTCGCACAAATAGTGTGCAACTTTTTGTGTAAGCACAAAAGCTAAGCGTTAGGTTTTGTATTGCCCCGCTATTATGTTATCTGCTGAAAAAAGCCAGCAGCCGGCAATAGCAAAAACCGTGATGCAACGTACTTCGAAACGATTGCCGCGTGTTCGCCTATTGAAATTTCTTACAAGAAAATTGTACAATGATTAAATTGAACTAGTAATCATGGCTAAGTGACTGAGACCGGTACAAACGACAACTGCGCAATAGAGCCGTGTTTAATTAACAAATTATGTAAGTAATGAGAAGGTTCATTTTCATTCTACAAAGATGTAAAAATATAGGTACTCCATCTCCAGAAAATACTGATTGGCATGTTAGAAATTATAGGAAGCGCTTTAAAAATGTAAGGGAAAAATGTCGTCAAACTGAATTTGTGACTAATCGATGTATGATGAAGGTAGTGATTTATCGGTCGTAATATCTTTAAAAGTAACATTTGTATCTGACTGAAAAAGATCGATTTATCGTTCTAAAAACTTTTAAATACAAAATTAGTTTACCCGTACCTACATTTATTTTACACAAACGTCAGTTTCACAAATTTTATCTTTCGAGGCTTCAGAGGGTAATGAAGAGTCAATCAGATATCTTCGATGTCAATAAAACATAATATTGCATTGTAAACTTATCTTATTGCAATGTATTAGGTCGAACGACGAGTAAAGGAAGGCTTTAAGCGGAGATTTGCAACCGCGTGCGGCATTCGCATTCGAAGCGAGGTCGGCGGAAACCTCATACGCGGCAGTGCAAATTGCTGTCCTCCACACAACCATCACACTTCTAATGCGAATACGGCTTCGTGCATACGACCATTGACAATAACGTAAACAGAGATTTGTTTATGTAGGTAACTAAAATAGTTTCGCATAAAGTTAACTCGAGTGATTCACTCATTACTGACAATTAAAAAATTACATTAGCCAATAAAGTCATTAGCAGTCGCTTTGCTGATTCATTGTTTCACTAATTTATTTATGAGCAGACCCATCATGAATTATGCTATTTTTCTTATAATGACATCAATATGTACTTTGAAGGAAGCTATTATAAAGACAATTAAAAAAATGATTAATTGATGAGTTATTATTGCAATTAATAAGTGAATGTGTTAGGAAGTTAGGAATCATCCTTTTATACAATCGTAAATCAGTACCCAACATGATATTTTTAGCACATAAACAATTAGTTCGTTATCACTCGGTTCAGAAGTATGAAAGGGTGATAAAATTTCGTAAAATAGTTATTTAGTAAAGAAACATCCGTCCATCCATTGACGACAGTTTAAAAGGATGCAGTGTCTGAAATTGGCAACATAAAAGTAATGAATAATGTTTCACCAAATTATTATCACACCTGCATCGTACGCGAAACTATGGAACATGTCGGCAGTCCAGACGTTCCTCGCATACAGATTACTAATGGCTCAGTTACACCATGTGGGAAATTGACCGAGACAAAGCGCGAGCACGCACATCGAAGTTGGGCGACACACGGCGAAACTAACAGAAGTGCGTGTTTACACTATGCCCGCCTAGTGTAACTGCGCCATAAGAGCTGATGGGGACAAGCTATGTAAGGTGCAATGCCTTTTCGGCAAATTTAGGAATGCTCACGCATCCGGCTATCATTGTTTATGGGTTACTTAGTAAAAAAAAATACCATGGGATGGAGTGAGTCTATACTAGAACAGCGGGAATTAAAGAATAACTGGGCAAATAATTTCAAATATCGTAATATTGGTTTTTATTGACCCTTGCATGAGCGTTAGCTACGGATGACCTGAAAAAATGTGTAATTAAAAATGTTTTACTTACCATTTCGAGATACATCTAGCTCAACTAAGTTTTCAAAATTCTGAATATCTGGTGGGAGTTTGTGAATTTCATTATCACTAAGCCCTAATCTTCTGAGTCGATGTAGCCTGAAGAAATTCTGAAAAAAAGAAATTAGGGATTTGTAAGCCTAGTCAAATACCTATGATGACTAACTTAAGAAAGATAAAGGGTTTACTTAGTAAAATAAGCAAATAGACTTAATGGTAGGATTGGAACAAGATGGTGCAATGTAAGCCTAGGTGCAGACCGCCAACTTTTAGTTGGCCAATAGTTGGGCCTGATTTTAATTTGAATGAAGAATCGACCGATACCAAATCGGTGTAATGGGCGCACATCGCATTTCATACATCTTCATACACAGATTAACACAAATTGGTGGTCCTAGGTTAAGAGTTCAAGAATTATTAAAAGCAAAAGCAATTTTATGTTTTTAATGTATTTTCTTCACTCAACTTAATTAATACCTGCCTTGTTATGCATAAATAAATAAAAAGAAAATATTATGGAATTTATCTGTGTTTTTATTTAAATTGTAAAGTAATTTTTTAACATTCCTTAATGACATTATTATTATTTATTTAATTGGAATTTTGCCAGTGATGTCTGGATGTTTGTTTTCTTTCACGCAAAAACTACTGAACGGATTTTGATGAAACTTTACAGTATTATTGTTTATGACCCAGAATAACATATAGGTTATAATTTATGACGATCTGTGACAAACGAAATTTCACGCGGGTGAAGCCGCGGGCAAAAGCTAGTTTTACAATGTTTTATCGGTTACCATTAAAACGGTAAATATTATTAATAATTACAATCTAAATGAAGGCTATGGTAGTCACAACTTCAAGAGTTACAAATTTTGGATCAAACAGCTCAATTTGTAAACTCTTGGTATCGTCCTAGGTCACCTGGATAAATACACTTTTGTTTTGGTGTGTCCCTGGGACCTATTGAACTTAGCTCTTTATCCTACTAATATTTGTGAGTATGGATGTTTGTTACTCTTTCAGGTGAAAACTACTGCATGGATTTTGATCAAACTTTACAATATTATTGTTTACACATCAGAATAACCAAATACTGAATCATTTTAAAAATAAATCATGTCATTGTGTGAAAAATCGTACATTTAGACAATCTGAAAGCTGTAACCTCTTGTTTTGTTGATATTTCAGGTACTTAATTGACTACAAGTATTGTTATTATTCCTATTGTATATTACTGTGTTAGAACAGTCGTCTATCAGTATGCATATTAATTTTATCAATAAATCCGTTAATTAACAGGTGGCTCTTCAGTTTCAGATGAAAATCATGATAACAAAGTAGGTACCGATTCTTGTAGCAGAACGACATCGAGGTTACATGTATTTCTTTCAAAGAAATATTGTTTTATCACGATAGTTTACATTTTGTGGGAGATGGAGATAAAACATAGGTGTTATTTACACACAAGTACTGATGGTAAACGCCCACGTCAAAACTTGACACATAGGTTACGATAAAAATTTACCTTCGGCAAATCCCGTATGTGATTGGCATCCAAAAAAAGTTCCTCCAAGCTTCTGGAATATCGCAATATGTCTTCAGGTACGTTTGGCAAAGAGCAATGCCGTTTGTCTACACATTCCACTTGGCGATTACATTTGAACAAAGGTATACACCGAAACATGTTGGACACTACACTTCAAACAAACTATGTATTGTTAAAGCACTAGAACGACACATATTTGAGCACGTCGTAAGTTTTAACACTATTTCATTTTGATAAACTGATTGTTAATCAAAATAATCGAAAAAACGCGACTCGCACCTCACCCTTGTAAACGAAGCCACAAACTGTCAGTGTTGCCCGATGAGTAAAATAATTACCACGAAAAAAATAATTTGCTTTTTAAATCCTATGTATGGACTCGGGGCTATGGCTTTTTGCTCACCGGGCGGTTCGATTTCAAGTTTTTAAGCAGAAGTACTTTGTAGTTGGTGTTGTTATTTGTAACTTTATACCGTAATGTCATCAAAGAGAGAGTTTGGCATCTTTGGCATCCCCCCCTCCATGTCCTTGCCATGATCACAAATAATTGTGTTCCTACTAAATTTCTTCTAAATCGGTTCAACGATTCTTGAAATAACACCATTTCATAAAATAATTGGTCACATCATCATAACGTGATCAATTTTACGATTTGGCCACGATATAAATGCATATTAGTGTTAAATTTGACTTTATACTTATTAATCAATAAACTTAAACGAGAAAAATTCAATAAAAATAAAGAAAAGATACCAATTGAAATAATTATAAAATTATTTGTTTTCACCCGATGTAAACACCCACGGGTGGAATGAAACGGGTTTTTATTGGGTTTTTACCCTCATGTGGGTTTTTACCCGGGTGGAGAAACCCATCTCTAGTTATATGCGTTTACTCTTATTGATGTCCCAGCCCATTCAATGGTCCAAGTCCGTAATTTTTTTTTAAAATCATATGACGTTGACAGCTGTCATTTTTGACATTGACATTTTCATTTCACATTCCATGCTTTTGGTCTCTAATCCATATCTGTGCTTTTGGTGGTGGTTTTGTATTTGTTGTATTCGAAAATTAATCAATAAATTAATGTTTTAATGAATTAAATTACAGTGAAAAATAAAAATGGAATATAATTTAGGTTTCATTGGAGGAGGTAACATGTCTACCATTATTTTTAAGGGTATTTTGAGGAACGGTAAGTTGTTTTCATTTTAATTTTACATAAAATTGAAGATTGAACGAATATATCCGGAAGAATAGGCAATATTTGTAAAAAAAAAATATAACAAAAACTACATTTCATCTGGTTTGTTGTGAAAGCTGAATCAAGTTCCTTCTAGCCCTAGCTCCTAGCTAACATATTTTGTTGATGCTGCTAATAATAAATGAAACGTGACGAAACCTTCGAATTGGTTCGCTTTGATTAGTGTGTCTATAACTGAAGGCAAGGACAACATACAACATATTACCACGACTGGCTTTAATGTATTTTACTCATCCACAGTTAAGTAACTATTAATTTTGTAAATAAAGATCTCTATGTACCCTCATCCACGTTTTAAGGAATGTAAAATCTTAATGCATTAAAGAAAAAGTTTGTACTTTCGCAAAGTAGCATGTTCTTATCCAGTTCCACTAAGATTTTGTAATTTTATATCAATAAACATGCAACCACCTTAAACTCATCATTCTACAAAAATGTATTTCAATTTCAGATACTCATCCAGCGTCACAGACATGGGTATCAGGGCCTCATCCAGAAAACCTGGAACATTGGAAAAAAATGGGTGCAAACGTCACCTGTAGCAATGGGGAGGTGTTTGAAAAATGTGATATAGTTTTTCTAGGTGTAAAACCAGCTATGCTTCATGAAGCTCTTAAAGATGTTGGTGATAGCTTATCTCGTAGATTTGTAGACAATCCAGATCTGCTAGTAATTTCTATGCTAGCTGGAGTTAATTTGGATAGTCTTCAGAAGGTTAGTTTTAATAATGTATGTTTAATAGTATGAATCAGTTAAGAAAGACAATTAATAATAATTCATTAAAATTGTTCTAACAGTATAATTTGACTTATATTATTATGTTACATGAAAAATATTTTTAGATTTGTTTCATAATTAATTTTTAGATCAAAGAATCATTCATAATAAATACTTAACTCTATAATAAATTTCAGGCATTCTCAGCTCTAAATCTACAAAAAGATGTCAAGAATTTCATAAAGATTGTCCGCATTATGCCTAATGTTCCTATGGCAGTGGGCTCAGGAATCAGTTTATACTCTTACAACCATCTTGGGGGAAAACAAAAGAGTGAAATGGTCAGGCTGTTGCAATGTTGTGGTAGCTGTGAAGAAATACCAGAGTATTTGATGGACTCCTTAGGGTCACTGACTGGCTGTGGTCCAGCCTATGTAAGTGTTTTTACTAAGGCTGAGTTGCACCACCTAACTTTGACCATAACTTTAATAATAACTGGTATTTTTTTATGCAGTTAGACAGATTTTTGACGTTTGGTAAAGTTAAAGTAAGATGGTACAACCCAGCCTAACATTTCTTAGCATGTTAGTTCTAAATACTAGATTGCAATGACAATAGAATATTGGATAATACCAAATGAAAAATATTGTTAACACAAGAGTGGTGTTTCCTAACACAAGTAACTCTATGCTTAAAAGGAAACTCCACACCCTGTATGCTTTATGTGCTTTGTAATGAAATAAAATATTGTATTTATATTTTATTTTATTTAACATACCAACAACATTACATAAGTAATTACATGAAAATCTTACATATAGAAGTTTAGTTTGTATCTTAGCATGTTAGTTCTAAATACTAGATTGCAATAACAATAGAATATTATTATTGGATAATACCAAATGAAGGGAATAAGAGATCTTTGGCTTAATTTTCACAATAGAGATTGGAATATAAATATTGTTAATACAAAAGTGATGTTTCCTTTCTAACACAAGTAACTCTACGCTTAAAAAGAAACTCCAAACCCTGTATGTTTTATGTACTTTGTAATGAAATAAAATATTGTATTTATATTTTATTTTATTTAACATACCAATAACATTACATAAGTAATTACATGAAAATCTTACATATAGAAGTTTAGTTTGTATGCATTTTCTTTTTTTTTAGATTTTCGTAATCATTGAAGCATTAGCCGATGGTGCGGTCAAACAGGGTGTCCCCCGAGCGATGGCTCTCCGCAACGCCGCACAGATGGTGATGGGAAGCGCTGCTTTGGTGCTCGAATCCAACAAGCACCCAGCTCAACTGAAAGACGAAGTGTGCTCTCCTGGTGGATCTACTATATGCGGCGTCAGTGTATTGGAGGAGGGTAGATTGAGGTACTTATTATCATATTTTTATCATGACATTTAAAATAACTAAGCCAAAAAAAACTTGGTCGTGTCTCTCTAAACACTCGACATTGGCAAAACCAGTGTGCTGTAAATTCGCACCATTGAAGCCATTAGACAGAATAATAATAAAAAACTTTGTGTATGATAATGGTATGTTTTGGACACCTTCTGTGACCTTAATTTTTATTTTACTTTGAAGTTAAGGCAAAATCTGCTTTGAGTTTTAGTTACGATTTTTTATTTCGAATTTCAACATCAATATAACTTAAAAAATGCATTTTGTGTATTTTATAAAATCAGTCCAGATGCAAATTTATGTTTTTTTCTATTTACAGGTCAACACTGATAAACGCATTGGAAGCATCCACTAATAGGACCAAAAAACTGGATCCTAATGCAGCTAATTCAAAATAGTTTAGAATTCAAGCTAATGGTAATAATAACATATAATCCATATCTGTAGGTAATTGGAAGCCAGAAAAAGCTTTGGTGTTAAAAATAGTTATCAAAACAATCAGCCACACACATTAGTTTGAAAAGTAACTATCAAAAAGTTATGGTTATTTTTTAGTTATACCCCTTTATGCTTGAGATTTTATTACTATGGTACAAATAACTATTTACTTATTTAAAACATTTTTGATCATAAAAAATAATGCTGTACAAAAGGCGAAATTATACTTACTTGGCATATTCTATTTATTCATAACCCCTGGGTCACACATCGTAATAACCCGAATATTCACGCTATTTCAATGTGTGAGTATTCGCGTATACTTCGGTGCTGTTTTGCAGTCGCAGGACTTCGCTCCGCTGTCAAATCAATGTAGCCCGAATGTAAACGCGATGTGTCCACAGGGGTAAAAAACATAATTGTATCATCACTTCTTGATGTGGTGTTTACAGTAAATGACCAGTGCAATCAGTATTAACTTCTTCGTTTAAAAGGGAAGGATCTGTATTATTTATTTATTTAATATCTCATGTATTATTCCAATTAGTCATATTTAATGTAACTGCACGTATTAGATACGGGTCTGTTTGTAAGGCTCTCTATCGAATCTCTTATTTGTTATACTCTAACTTGCGTGTTGTCTTTTGTTTTGTTTTATCCTATACTCGTACATACGTCGAGATTGTGTCCTCTATTTATTATTGTTATCTTGATCTGAGATCATCTTTTTAATTTAAGCTTCAGAAACTTTGTTATTAAGCATAATTATTTTGATTATGCACGAAAAACATTCTAATTAAATAATAAAAAGCTGAATACAAACGTGAAAAATCTTTCATTATTTTTCCGAAAAAAAAAGAAGAACATAAACCCAAATCCATCAGTATATCAAATGATACGATTTAATATGATATTTTAGAATTATAAAAGTCTTTCCTACTTTTAAGTAATGCGAAAAAATAAAAATAAGTCATGTGCTAAATAATTTATTTTATTAGGTACCAAATGAATAATTTCTTACACAGCATACAAATTAAACAGTCGAATAGAGCCTCACAATTATTTTAATCGCGCGATAAATAAATAAAGCGCCTTAGAGTGAAACCTCGGGAATGCAGTTTTTCTCATATTAATGCATTTCGGACAATCTTACAGAATGTAACAGTTACTTTCTGGATTTAAAACACTGGATTTTACACAAGAGGTTTTCACTCTAAAGCGTCGATATTGACATTTCAATTTGTGGTCAACTTGTAACGTTGCAATTTTTGCTGTTTTTTCACAAATTAATATTTCTTCTCAATATTCTGATTTTGGATACCACTAGCGACATCTATTGGCGTGATTTAGAATTAATTTGCAATAGATGGCGCTTTTTGCTCAGTTAATTGAAATATACTTTGATGAAACATTTCATAATGTTTTTATTGTGGTTATTCTATTTTTTAATAGAATATTTTCAGTGTTCAGGAGATTGTTTTCATCATGGTTTTATTAGTACAGTATTTACTTTCTGTTATCGATTATTGTATCTGGCTGGTAATCGCTGTTCCAATGCCTTAACGTTTTTATGATTAAAAATATATTTTGAAGTTTCTGTGTGGTCTATTGAAAATAAAAGAATGGCGGCGATTGCCTTCGTAAGATCGTAAAAACTGTGTTTAATTTAATATCACAAAGTAAAACTTAAAACTCATATTCGCTACATGGTAGCAGAGCGTAGTTCCTCAAAATGGAGGTGCGATATGAGGAAGTAAATAATATTGTGCGCCTCGTGGACGCCGATTCATATTCCATGTGGAAATTCCAATTTACCATACTACTAAACAGTTATGGTCTGATGGACGTAATACAACTACAAGATGAAAAACCTAATGAAAAACAAAGAGTTGTGGACGTCAAAAGGGACGCACAGGTACAGAAAATCATTGTTCAAACAATTGATAAGCGACATATACCCTTGATCATGTGCATGAAAAACGCTAAAGAGATGTATGACAAACTCGAGTTCATATTTGAAAAAACATCCGGTGAGCAAAAGTGCAATTTGTTACAAGAGTTCTACAAGTATACGTTTGATCAGACGAAAGACATCACGTATAACGTTTCAAACATACATAACATTGCCCAAAAGCTAAATTCACTAGGAGAGAACATCCATGAAAATATGATAATATCGAAGATACTTTCGAGCTTGCCACCAAAGTGGAATTATTTCATCACTGCTTGGGATTCAACCCCATTGACAGAAAGAACGTTAAATCAACTAACGTCAAGACTGTTATCGGAAGAACTGAGACAGAATAAAGAAGATGTCATGACCACAACAGTAGCATTTAGAGCACAAACAAGAAAATATCAGAAATTTGAAAAGAAGTGTTCGATATGCAAAAAGAACAACCATACTGAC